ATTGTAAAAAATATATTGCTATTAGGTTTCACTAGAACTTTATTAAAGGACACAATATTTTTATGCACTAAAGCTTATTTTTTTATTCATTTATACGTGTAATGTCAAAACATGTATTTTTGTTGTGGTGTGCTTCAAGCTGCTCATGGGAATCTAAAATAAAAGATCCAGGAACCCAAGCGGGGGGGCTCTAAGGGCTGGAATGGATGGGCTTGAGTTGTGAAACATGGAAAGTAGGATGGATCCTGAGAGTGGAGGGGAGACGAAGGCGGACAGCAGATGGGCCGATTATCCTCTCCACCTCGTAAGGGCCAGTGAAGCGGGGAGACAACTTCTTGGACATGGCCTTAAAGGGGAATGTCTCTAGTGGACAGCCAAACCCTTTGGCCAGGGGTGAAGGTAGGGGCGACCCGCCTCCTGTGGTCAGCCCATTGACGGTTTTGTTCAGAAGTGCGTCCGAGAGCCACTGCTGTCCTGCTCCAGACTGCTTTGCAGCGGTGAATATGATGCTGAACAGAAGGGACGGCAATGTCTGCCTCCTCAGCAGGAAAAAGGGGGAGGCTGATACCCCAATGAGACTTCAAAAGGGGACAGACCTGTGGCAGAAGAGGTGTGTGATTTATGGGAATACTCAACCCAGGGAAGATACTGGCTCCAATCGGAGGGGTTAGTTGAAGGCTTAGATGAAGACGATTTTGCTAACTCTGAAAGTTCAACTGGATCAAAGCAGTCTAAACCCGGTTCAGATTCCATGACTACCTCAGATGCTGAACCCCCCCCCCCTCCAGAGAGAAACCAATCGCATATAGAGGAGTGCTGATGATCTTATCGACCGTCAACATATCTTTGAACCAAGCAAAAATCAATAAATACCATATCTTATGACCAGCTAAGATGAAAGTAATATAAAATCATGCCAATAGATAACATTTGTAAGGCACACTTGCTTTCATGCAATTTTAAGCTATTTTCAGTTTTTAAGGTATTTTTAAAGACAAAAGTTGGGAATTTTCTTCAATAAATTCCAGGTCATGTGACTTACCGACTCAAATTCTTCTTAAAATTGTTTTTTATTACATTAGCCTGATGAGGCACACTCATTTTTATTCCATTTTAAGCTTTTGTTTAAGCCATTAAATAGCATTTTGGGTCTCAGATGAAGTCATTCTTCCTAGTCCCTGGATTGGTAAAGCCTAGCTCTATCCTCTCATCCTAGTTTGGTCTATGCTTCTCACCTGCTGGAATGATATTGTCCACTGTCGTGGATCATAAAACCAGATTTTTACATATAGTCTCTTCTGCAAATTTTCCAAAACTACTTCAAAATTGCATTTTGGATATTGGTCATTTTTTAGGACTTTACTTAATTTCAGCTATATTTTGTTCTTCTGTTTTTGGATTCTCAGACCAATGTTATCAATATCTCAGAAGATCATTTTTCCATGGATCAAGGGATGTAAACATAGTAAACAGTAGAGGATATCTTACACAATTCTATCCTGAGACACTGAGCTTGTTTCCAAACTAAAGGTCGATAGATTTGAACATTTCTCCGATGCAGAACCGCAAAAACATTTTCTCACAGCATAATAATATCTTCAGAAATAAAATACATTCTACAAATAACACAGTTTTAGAATATTAATCAGCAGAAACATGTGAGATTCTGCAGAAAAACAAAAAATCTGCAAAAACCAACTATAATTACCAGGAATGTCCTGATATAATTTTTTTTTCATTTCCAATACGATAATGATATTGAAGCTTTGATCAATGACCGATGCCTAATTTACCTAATATGATACCAACATGAATCATACACAGATCTATTAGATTTTTTTTTCATTTTAAATTAAAAAAACAATTCTTGATGATGTGACATTACTTTAAAGGTCTACAACAATAGGAAAAACTGACCTATTCATCATTAATAAATGGATTACGCAAATTTTAAACAGAAGTGGGTAGATGTGGAGTAATTCTAACATTACACTTTAATCTGAGATTTTAGATGTATGCTTGATATTATTTTAGCTGATATCACCTAATTTCTGGAATTTATATTGGATTGGGAAATTATTCTTTTTGTTCTTGATATTTTTTCTAGAATTAGAAGAAGCATTTATAAGTTGAAGAGAAGAGTACAGCATTGCTCTCACAGAAATAAATAAACCTCATGTAGTTGTGGGGCTATTACTGAACAACATTTAAGTTATAAAAACCTTAAAATGTTATAAAAATGGTTAGTGGTTAGAGCTTAGTACTTAATACAACATTTAACATGCCTTTATTAACAATCCTGTGAAATATATACATCATTCCATAGTTTGATAGTTTACTCACAAGAGTATCACTGTACCAAAATGCGAATCTGATGATTGCTGTACAAAAGGAATTATCTCCAGACTATATAGCATGTTAGTGGAGGGATCTTCTGAGTCTCCTTTAGGGAAGTTCAATGCTTGGAAAACTCACCATCAGAGGACTGGGAGGAGGCATGTGCTGAAGCACAAACCAGAACTACCAATACACGCATCAAAGTACTGCAATATAATTGGCTAATGAGAACATATGTGACGCCAGAAAAGCTTAATAAGTACAACGCTGCCATCCCAGACCTGTGTACTAGGTGTGGAGAAGAGAAGGGAACATTCCTCCATTGTGTCTGGAAATGCAAGAAAGTTCAACTATTCTGGAGGGAGATTAAACAAGCTCTGGAGATTATACTGGGTTTAAAACTAGTTTTTGACCCCAAATTGTTCATCCTAGGTTTATATCCTGACAGACATCATATGTCCAGAAAGATTATTACCAGTAAACCAAAATTAATTAAATGGATTAAGGAAATATCCACAACATTACCAATGGAAAAGATTACTTTCATTTTAAAAGAGAAACTTTCACTTTTTAAAACATTTGGAGTCCTTTTATGGAATATATAGCAAACATGGATGTGACGGGTGTCGGGGATGAGGTATAGTTGGAGTTGGTCCCCTGCAGTGTCCTAAAATAATCTTCATTTGTATAATTGACGACTTTGGATTATATATTCGAGTTTGTATTTTCTGAACCACGTACAATACTAAAATAATATGGGCTAATATCTTAAAATATAGAAACCGTTATTATTGTAATTGTTGTTTCTTCTCAGGGGGGTTTGGGGGCATTGTTTTTTTTTTTTTTGTGTTCTTTTTTTATTTGTTTGTGTGTCATAAGTGCTGCTCTAAAATACTCCGGAATGACAAGTCCAACGCTGGACAATAATTTAACTACCCTGGACTTTTCCTTCGATGTGAGAGCACACTTATGTCCTGACTATTATTGAAAAATTGTTGAAAAACCAATAAAGATAATGTTGGGGAAAAAAATGCGAATAAGATGTTGTCTCTGAATGATGCCAATCAAGTCGAAGTAATTCACAGATTTCTGGGACAGTAAAGGAATGCAAAATCTTCACAATGCTTTCACAACTTGAAAATGATTATTTAAAAAATGTGAAGGAGTGACGTCTACTAGTTTAGTTTTTTTCAGGAGATTTTATGCTAAATGACTGAAATGGTTGAATAAAAATTTCCCAAAAAAACGTGAAGGAATTGGCAAAGTAATATAACTGAATACAAGTATATTTCATACCTTTCAAGAATTTAGCTTTTCTGATTAAATAATTGCATTGATAGGCTAGTTAGTTGTACACCAGCTTGTTGTAATACAGTATTAAAACCACTAGGTGACAGTGTCAACCAAGAAATGAGCAAAAGTCTCTTAGTTACCTGAAATATTCACTATTGTTTGTTGTTTAAATAGCATGGCTTTTTTTATCGCCTTTTTATGATGATGATGATGATGGTTATTTACTAGTTGTTGATTAAGAATACTGCATTTTTTTTGCTTTTCAATTATCTCCTTTATTGTTAACTTAAAGTTTATTTCAAAGATAATATTTAAACTGAAAAGACTAGAACTAGTTAAGCCAGAGATTAGACTGGCTAGGAGACCTTTATAACTGAATATTCTTCACTGTCTATAGGGTTTACCAGTCAGGGTAGGGTGGGTAATCTTACATTCCTACTTTTAGGAAACATGGATGGATGAATTGTAGCTTTGCTTTTAGTGTTTACTGATACATGGTAGCTTTGAATTCCTCTGTATTATATTATGCAAGTCAAGCTTACATAAGATCTAAATGTAAAAATGTGGTCTCTGCAAATTATAGATGGAAAAAAAACATTAAAACTGATTTCATATTGAATTCAAATATACTTCATTGATCCCAAATTGGGAAATTTTAGTTTCAGAGCAGCCTGTCGTGGGATTTTGAGTCATTCATTCAGTTTATTAGATGTTTCATGCACGCTTTTTAAAGAAAGGTAGGAAAATGGCTGATAAGTGATAAGTAAGAAAAATTAAGAATAAATATTTTCACCCCAATTCTTGTAGTTAGTATGGAAAAAAAAACAAAAATGTTTATACAGCACAATAATGTAAATACCTGGCTCTTACTGCATGGATACAATAATTAGCTTTTTTACTGTTTAAAAGTTTCCGCCATACTCTGGACAGATTCCAGATTGTTAAAGTACACAACATAGTGTACAATAAATTTACTGCAGCAAAAAGGCACTTAAGTTTTAGATAAACATTTAAGAAGATAAAGTTAAGTTTATAAAGTCAATATTATTTTATTTTTTTTTTTTTCTGCAATGCTTTATGGTTTGCTAATTTGCAGTTTGATGCACTCTCAACACTAGAGGTCCCAACATGGCAGGGTAGTTTTTTAGTAGATGAAAAACCAAACTAATCTTTAAAAAATTTTTGTTGAATTTGTTCAAACTTGTAGTATTTGAAATGACAGAAGGTACTAAAGAATAAAAGACTCTTATATTTCCAGTTGAGTGAAAAATAATGAAGACTAACCTGTTTGAACAAAGCCTGTGTGAAAAAGAAGTGATGCAGAGAAAAAGGTTTTACAATAAAATAAAATAAAAACCTTTTTGTTTTACCTTAAGTTGTACCAGGTGGACGTCCACATGTTTGTTTTCACTGTCTTGTCCAACTGAGTAAGTGAGCTGTGCAACTCGGTTGCTCGTTGTTTTCAGCCACTTCTCAATCTCTGGTAAATTGAGAACGACCTTCCAGTCTGCTGCGGTGTGAAGAGCAGGTAGTTTCTTTGTCCTTAAATCAATACAGAAGAACACAAAAAGAAATGTAATAAATATACGAATCCATATGGTCCAACTTAGTTTAAAGCTAGGTTTAGGTTTAATAGCCCAGTTCTAAAACAGAGAAAAAAGGTGAGGAATAAATCAGAAATGCCTGGCTCTCTGAATTCAAAATTAAAATTTAGAAAAATTTGTAAAACAAAAAAAAACAAAAATGGATTAATGGAGATGCTTTTTAAATTTTAAAATTTGTTGCATTTCTTGTCAAATAATAAAAAATAAAATTAGACATAGATAATCCAAATAAAATTTTTTATTATTCATTAATTTGTAAAAATTCCCCAGCAAAAACTGATGATTAAATTTGAAATGTTTAATTATTTAGGTTAAATTAAAATGCATTGACAAAAATACATTTTCATTTTCAAGTTATAGCAGCATTTTTAACATATACACAAAATTTGCAATAGATAATCCAGACTGCTTTTTCATTTTCTTCTGCAGGAATCCTCATTCTGTTACTTTATCCAAATAATCAATTAAACGATATAAAAGCTGCATTTTTCTATAAAATTTGTAATAGATAACCCAAACTGCAGGTTAATTTTCTTTTTTTAGGACTGTTGATTGTGTTACTTAATCCAAATATTTAATAAAGCATTTATTTTCAAAGGTGTTCGAGAAAAATGTAATTAAATTTAAATTAAAATTAATTTTGAAGTTGTTAGTGATGGTTGTAAGAAATGTTAACCATTTAGGCCTGTGAAATTGTATTTTGTGTTGGTGATCTGTGATGACCTTTGCACTTCCTCTACATTTGTTTGGAAACAATGCAATTATTAATTAAGTATGAATCCTGCCTTACGATAGATTGAACATTTCTGACACCTTCTGGTTAGGACTAACCTGACTCCGCCAGATGGATTTGCTCCGCATATCCATCTGGAAACCTTCCGTTGAAGTAAT